GCGCAAGTTGAATTCGATCGGCCCTGCCTCGCACTTGCGTGTACGCCGGCGAGCAAAGTTGGACGACAAGTCCGGGGGAAGTTGGAGGCCTGGAGGTTCGGAAGCAGCCAGTGGGCGTTGATGAAGAACGTCGAAAACCATGCCCGAACCAATGCGCGTGGAAGTTCTGTCCCAGGAGACCGAAGCACAACTGAGTCAATGGAACCCGATCGGCCCTGCTTTGCACTCGTTCGTTCGCCAGAGGATGAAGTTGGATGAACCTGGGAAACCCATGGACTCCCGCTGTGAGACGGACGAGAACGAGGTCTGGAAAGATGGAGGACAATCCAATATTTAGAATTGCTGCCCCAGGAGATCGACTCGTCTGTTCGCTGGAGAGCGAAGGGGGTCTGGGAAGATGGAGGCCCCGAGGTTCAGAGGCGACCGACTGGTGTCGATGACGATCTTCGAAAGCCCATGCTCCTCAATGATGACCCGGAGATCGCAACGCTTCTGGCGTTCTTCAGTTTTGCAGCGACCCACGAAGGAATCACTACGGGCGCCTTGCAAAAACTGCGCACGGAAGGGGAGATGTCCATTGGAGAATCTGTTTTAACTATGAGAGCTTTTGCCTCACGAAGGGATTGTGCAGGCGCGGGGGAGGTGGAGAAGGAGTAGGAAACTGAGGCGAAGGGACCCGCGTAATTTCTCAGCGGGGGCTCCCTCTGACCTCTTAGCGGTTGGAGACTCAGCTGTTGAAGGATTCGTCATCGAAGCTCGGACGGAAGCGCAACGGGTGGACTTTGGACGGCGTCTATGACATTTTGTGGGGCAATCTTGGCCATTATTCTTCTGCGGGTGAATTTCGGCGTCAATTGGTCAACAGCGGCGCAGTCCGTACTCTAACAGAAGTGGAACGCTCTCTTTCGGAATGGGAAAGCATTCGAGCTTTCGCCAGGCTGGGGGGCAAGAGCGCAAATGCCGCCGCGTGAAGATAAAAGTGCAGGCCAATTTGCACACCTAAGTTGGAGACAGATACGCGGACGCAACCACTTATGTCTTTGGACGGTGATGCCGCGAGAATCCTCAGGAAGTACCGCATGCGCCCCCAGAGATTCTGAGTTATTGAGTACGGCCTCGGACAAGACGGCGAGGCGAAGTGACTGGCGAGCCGATGCGCGGTGAAGCAAACGAGAGCAGGGGCTGTGCAATTCTAAACGCGTTTGGCGCGGGGGAAAGCTTTGTCTTGGCGCTGGGAGTACCGATCGCACGAGCGAGGGCATCTCGGGCTGCACGGTGCCCCCTCTCTTCTCTTCTTCGGTCTTCTTCTCCGTAGGATACAGAATGGAATTAGACTCGCGAATTAAAGGGGGGCTCGGGCTCGCCGATTCCCGTGCCGACCCCCGCGCAGGCACCGCCCGTCCAGACCGTTACGCGGACGCGGACAGCATGACCGGGATCATCAGCTCGACTTCGACATCCTCTCGCGTGACAGTGAAATGTGTCGAGTACCACGTCGGTAAGCGTGTCTAGTGTCCATGCCCATGCTCGGGGACCGATGCTTGGGAGTTGTATGAAAAGTGGGGGCCGCACAGGCAGGCGCTTGGCCTCTCCGGTCAGCCGCAGCAGCGGCGCTCCGCTTTGTCTCGCAGGTCCAGCGTTACCGTTACTATTAATATACCTGTGGCGTTTTCCAGCGATTGCGTCTTCTTCTTCTTTTTCTTCACTGTTCTGTCCACTCGGGCGATTTCTCTGCCAGTGGAGTTTCGCGCTGTGATCTGGTGACTGTCGTGCTTCCCTCCCCTTCCGCTCCTCTTCCCTCTCTCTCTCGCCTCCCTTCGTCTCCCTTCCTCTTCTTCCTTTTGAAATGCCGTCGAGTTGCACAAGGTCGCCAGTCTCGTCTCGAGAAGCTGGCGTGATGGACGCGGAAATCTGCGGTCCTGCTCATTGTGCTACAGGCGTTGAATTACGGGAAAGGAACCAGGGTTATGTTTCTATCGTTTCTTGCCTAATGCTGTGCTCGTTTGTGCTCGTTTAATTATGCGCCGATGTTTGGCAGCTCTGCCGCTATAGAGCCTCAGACTGGTACGAATAGCCCCCATGAGGGGAAACGGATTCCAAACAGAGTGCTGCTGGGGAAACGTTTCAACGCTAGACGCGTTCGTTTCATCTTCGGCGGGCTGGTGGATCCGGGGCGTGCGGCCTTCCAGTCAAGCGGTTGCGTGGTGGTGGAGCGATGTGCGGGGAGGAAGGACACATCTTGCGCAGGCCCGCTCGCGCGCGCCATTGGCAACGCAGTGCCAGCGGCGCCGCGCCCCTCGGTTTGTGTGGTAGTACAGGGTTTCCCCCGAACGGGCCGCGCGCTCGCCCGTGGTGGAGGAGGGGGAGAGGCGAGGGCTTGGGGTTGGGAGGGCAGCGGGTACGCCTTTGCGCAGGCCTTGGCACTTCCCTCGGTAAGATGCCGAATGGCTGTCGGCTCACTGCTGCATCTCACGCACGCAGGGGAATGACGCATACGTTGTACGCTGCACCTCAGCGGGCGCATTGGCGTTGACCCCCTTCATGCGGATGTCCTGTACCGTCCTGTCCTCGTCCTCCTTTCCTTCCTCTCGTTTTTCCTGGCCTGTCCTTTTCTCACCTGAGTACCCCTGTGAAGTTCACTCCTTCTCTTGCCTGCCTCTCCTGTCTGATTACTTTATTACATTGCCTGCCCTTGCTTTCCTCTTGGCAGTCACACATGTGGCCCATCCTCCCGCCGTGCCCTTGGCACGTTACCAGCCCCCTGCCCCGCGCCAGTCCGCACCTGCATCGCTCGAGCGCGTCTCCGTGATCACCGCGCTCGTCGGCAATTGCGCCGCTCACCGCATGGAGGGGCGGGGGGGGAAGGGAAGGAAGAGGAGGTCGGAAGAGGCGATGAAGAGGAGGATGAGGAAAACGACCAGTGAAAACCGAACACGCATTAACGATGCGGCAGCAAAGTAACAACGTTCGCTTCAAGTTCCTTCTTCGCAGTTCCGTACACGAATGTTTGTTCATTGCAGGAGGCGCCCCATTCAAACACGATGTTTTGGGAATCTTCAGTCGCGTCACGATACCGTTCATGGGGCCACACGTTCGCAGAAGCCTTGGAAATCGAGACTGCGAAACTACTTCACACATACGCGTTGAACTTTGCATGAGTTCGGCCTCTTTGGAGCCTGCTGGGGGTCCACCGTTTGCCTTGTTTGGGGCATCTTGAGCCGTCTTGGAGCCATCTTGGGCCGCCTCGGGGCCATCTTGGGCTGTCTTGGAGTTGTCTTGGTCCATTCTGGCGGCCGGGGTTGCCTGCCCGGCCGTCTTGTAATTTCGGGACACGTATTCTGTACGAGAGAACTTGGCCTCGCAAGCCAGAGCCCATAGTTTTTGCACGAGGTACTTGGGTCCAGGGAGTGGAGAGGGTGCATGCAACAGTTTGCGGTGATAATGGGCGTCCCTTAGATAGAGGAGAGCATAACCCCTGCCAGGAAACCTATGGCCTTCTACCACGCCTCAACACGCCAGGGGCACGGTGGCGAATGTAGGGGGTGCGAGAGAGAGAGAGAGGGAGAGGGAGAGGGAGAGAGAGGGAGAGAGAGATGGAGAAGAAGATGTGAGCGCCGACCCTCGGCCCCGCTGCCTAGCCAGACCAAGTCATATTTACCAAGCCACTGCGGTCACCTTCAGGGGGGCAGCGAGTCACTGGCCACATTCAGCCCAGAGGGAGGGGAAATAAGGTGGAGGGCGCGATGCAAGCTCATCAGGGCGAGGGCGCGAGACCCTTGTGTTCACATGTATATCACGAAGGTGTTTCGAAGTGACTCAAGGGGGATTTTGTCTGCAATCGGACGCCTCGATTGCGCAAGGATGGTGAAGATCCGCGTGGGCTTCATTTGCGGGAAGGACACAGACTTCGTGGAGCACCCCGGCAAGGGACCGTTGTATGCTAAAATCGGGGACCTTGCTTTCCTCGCAGATCTGCCAGACAAGTGGCGCGTCGACCCTGTCAGCCACGAGTATCTGATGGATTGCGAGCCTGGCACGAAGGGACAAGCTCACTGCGATGTGGCGCTGGCCTGGTTCATCAAGAAGAAGTACAAGGACATCGAAGACGCCTACGGCGAGTCACTGCCGCCCCCTGTCCTTTGAAAGCGCCCATGTCGCGGAACGTCGGGCCGGAGCCTTGCCAAGCTGTTGAACTATGAGTTCCCCCGGCCGTCGTGGATACCTTTGGGAGGGCACGAGGGTGAGAAAGAAGAAGAGGGGGAGGGGAAGAAACAAAGAGAAGGAGGAGAAGGAGGAGGAGGAGGAGGAGGAGGAGGAGGAGAGGGAGGAAAGACCTCTTGGGAGCACTCTGTGGGCCTCCTGGGAACGTCCTGAGGGCCTCCTGGAGGCCACCTGGGAGCGGCCTGTGGCCCGCCAGACGTCGGGGGGCCGTCTCGGGAGCCTTCCCTGGGCCGACCTGCGGGCTCCGGAGCGCTTCGGGCCGTCTTGGAGGCCACCCTTGAGCGTGTTTCGGGCCGGACGAAAGGGGGAGGAGGAGGAGGAGGAGGAGGAGGAGGAGGAGGAGGAGGAGGAGGAGGAGGAGGAGGAGGAGGAGGAGGAGGAGGTGGAGGAGGCGGAGGCGGACGACGACGACGACGACGACGAGGACGACGAGGACGAGGACGACGACGACGACGACGACGACGACGACGAAGGGGGGGATTGGGAAAGGGGGGGGTACGAAATTTGCTGCATGCAGCTGGTTTCGGCCTCACCGAGGGGCCCAGTCCTCGATACACAGCCGCCTCCGGCGCCGGGACGCGCCAGGAAACTCGTCTGCGTGAGCTGATTCTCACGCCTCCCCTTTGCTATCCTCCCCTTTCGCCCGATCCGAGTTTTGGAAGTGTCCAGGGCGCTGTTTGGGCCGTCGGGGGGGGACATCTTGGGCCGTCATGGGGGCTGTGTCGGGGACTCCTCGGGCGCCCTCGGGGCCATCCTGGCTCAGGGAAGCGAAGACTGACATAAACATAAAAAACTCGGAGGTCCGCGCGGATTTCCAGCGCCGATCCGAGAAATCCGCGCGGACCTCTGAATTGTTATGGTTATTTCAGTATTCGTTCCCCTATGGTTGCTTCGGCGTCCATCTTGCACCGTCGGAAAGCAAACCACGAGTAAGCGCCCAACACATGCACAGCTAGAAGGAAAGGCAATGGTTTTGCCCTCATCGGGCCTTCCTGACGGACCTCTTGAAGGCCTCTTGGGAGCCGCGTGAGCTGTCCTGGGCCATCTTGAGGCCATGGAAGGCCGTCGTGGTTTTGTATTTTTCCGTGTTGGAGGCATCTTGCTGCCATTTAGGGCTCTCTTGGGGCCATCTTGGACGTGGTGTAGGCCATCTTGAGCGTTTGGGGCCGTCAGTGTGCCCTCTTGGGGCCGTCTTGGGGCCCTCTTGTGCTAACATTTGGCCATCTTGGGACCTCTTGGGCTTACTTTGGGCGATCTTGGAGACCTCTCAGGCCGTCTTGGGCCGTCGAAAGGCCAGAAAACAGCGAATGCCAGAATCGTTCAAACAATTTACATCAATGACTTGGCATTTCCAGGCCTTCCTGAAGGATCTCTTGGAGGTATCTCGGGCTCACTCGGCGCCAGTTTGGATATTCTTCCCCCGTCTTTGGCCATCTGGAGGCCAACTTCGTCCATCTTGGCTGCATTTTGGGCCGTTTTGCAACCCTGTTGCGACCATTTTGGGCTCTCTTGGGGCCATGTTGGCCGTCTTAGAGGCCATCTTGGGCGTCTTTGGGCCACATGTTTCGGCCATCTTGGGCTCTCTTAGGGCCATCTTGGCCGTCTGGGGGGCCAGATTGGTCGTCTTGGAGGCAAGTCTGAAGCCATCTTAGCGAACAAAAGCCGACGGGAGGTGCGTTGTGAGGAGCTTTCTGGGTGGCTGGCGGGCTGAGCCGAAGCCCCACAGAGAGTTCTGTAGAAAAGAGCCAGGAACTTGCCAGATACTCGGCACGCCGTGCACCACTGTGGCAAGACCACAGGGGGCGGCAGATCCAATAGCCTTCGGCCCATCCCGCAACCGTGCCTGGGTTGCGGGTCAAGCTGCCGTGGATGCGACCCAAGGCCACAGCGTATTCACACCATGTTCTATTGTTGGGGATGCTGCGGCTTCCTGGGATATGGGCTTCTCTGGAGCCTTTTGGGGGTTTCTCGGGGGCATCTTGGAGGCCACTTCGAGGCGTCCTGGGGGCCTCTTAGGATTCTCTTGGATGCTGCTGAGAGGACCTTGGGAGGCATCTTGGGGGCCCTCCCTTTACCTGGGGGCAGATTTGTAAGAGTGTCCCCGGCTCCTGTCTGGCACACGAGGACTACCGCCCAGGCAGCTTGGGCTTCCCGCTTCGCCGAGAAGCTCTCATCAGTAGTCACGAGGATTCGCTTCCGTGGCGCCCGAGCGGGTGGGCACATTCTTGCCGCCACTTCAGCGCAAGGGTGCAGGTCGATGTTCGTGAGTTCCTGCTCGACGAGCAGGGGTCTCACCCTAGTCTGGAGTCTCTTGGTGAGCCTCGGCACAGGTTGTAGAGAGGAAGAGATCGTCTGTCATGGCTGCGCTCCCTGCGGCTGAGCAGCAGCAGCAGCTTGCTGGTGTTGTTTCCGTAGCTGCTCTGCACCTTGTAGATATTGACCTTCGCGCACTTGCGACTCGAGCAATCCTTCCATTCTATATCCGGAGCTGCTTGTCGAATTCGATGGCTGGCCTGGGCAGGCATCCGAAGAGCCTCCATCGGTTCTGGCATGTTCTTCAGGTCCGTCACCCCCATGCGTCTCAGGAAATGTATGCCCTTCGCGATCAGAACGAGGTTTCTCACAGTCTGGGCTGCTGCTGGAGCTCCTCAATTCACCAGACGTCTTCTGTGTTGCATTCAAAACTTTCCCATCGTAGTTGATCCGCTTGCCATCCTCTCGCAAGCTGCTCATCCTGCTCGATGGCGTGGTCGCCGTTGTACTGGTCGACGAGCTCGTGCCAATCCAGCGGGTTCAAAGTCGTAGTCATGCATCTGGGAGCGCCAATGCACTCCTCGGGCTAAGTCTCAGACGTTGCCCCCCCCCCTCGGACGCCCGAGGTCGGGGGGGAGCCCCTCTGGGCAGTCTTGAGTGCCCCTGGTGCTTCGAGCTGCCCTCGATGTCGTGGACTCGCTGCCGCGCTTGTCCCCCGGGGACGCTGGCGCCACTGGGGCCTGGCTCGTCGCCAGGCCTGCTGGTGCCCTTCTTGCAAATGGTGTGGCCTCTTCTGGTCTTCTCGTGCTCCCCCGCATCCGGAGACTCGGCTGGATCTGTCGTGGCGAGGTCCTGGTCGATCTCCTTGTCGACGGCCTGGTTGTAGCCCTGGCCAGGCATCGGTTCCGTAGTTGTGGTGCCCTTCTACCACTGCTGACCTGCAGGATGCGGCTGCGCCTGGGTCTGGTCGTGCCGCCGTATCTGCTGTCGTTGCAGTCGCACAGGCACGACAACGTACTGCTCTTCTTCTCCGCCTGTCCAGCCATGCTGAGCTGTAAGATATGGCACCATTATGTCTGGCTTTGGCGCCACTTCCCGGGGCCTCTCGGGGTCTCTTGGGGGCCGGGTCTTCTTGGCGCTTCCTGGGAGCTTCTCAGGCCGAGGGCTCGAAATGTCCGTTCGGGCCCCCCGTCTGGGCACACTCTTGCAGCCATCTTGGGGGCTTCTTGCGCCGTCTTGGAGGCCTCTTGGGCCATCTTGGGACCTTCTGGGGCCCTCTTGGAGGCCTCTTGGAGGCCTCTTGGGCTATCGTGGGGCGATCTTGGGGGCTGTCGGAAAGCCGACAAGGCGAGAATAATATCTACCAACAATTCTAAGAACATCAATGTTTTTGCCTCTTGCGGCCCTCTTGGGAGTGCTCTTGGACGCCTCCTGGGGCGTCTTGGAAACCTCTTGGGCCGTCTCGAGGCTACAATGGCGTCTTCAACAGATAGTTCGGCGATTCGGGGCCGTTTTGAACCGTCTTGGGGCCCTCTTGAGGCAGTCTGGATTCGTCTTCGGGGGTTGGGGTTTTTGGTGGCCCCCCCGGGGGTGACATTCTGACCCGGGGATTGCCCCGGTTCCCCCCCAGGACCCTCCCCTGGGATCCCCTGGGACCACCCCAGGACCCCTTGGGGACCCGCCCTGGGACCCCCCCCCCCCCCAGGCAGGGAAGGGATCAAAGGGAAGGGGCTGTGTTGCTGCTCAATTTCGCTTGGGCTGGCGCGCTTGAGGAGGAGGGCCCAGAGAAAGCGGGGGGACTGGCGACGGCGACGGCGACGAGGACGACGACAACGACGACGACGACGACGACGACGACGACGACGACGACGACGACGACGACGACGAACGAAAGAGCGTCTTCACGACGGGTCGGCGGATTCTGACGCCACGGGCCCCCTGGTAGACAGCACTGTAGAAACGGGAAAACGTAAGACTCGAGTAAGCCGGAACTCCGGTTTGCTGAAGTTTCTTGACGAGCGCGTCCTGGATTTTGACTGTCCAGTTTCCGTGGGATGTCTGCAGCGGGAGCTCGCGTCAAATTTCATATCGGGTCTCGTAATTCTCATTATGGCCACGTCAGGCCAACACCTGCATCCGGGTCTCACGTCTCCCCGATAGAAACGAGAAACAAGGAGCAGCAACCAAAACAGCCCCCAAGAGGGCCGGCCGATTCAGGGCTCCTGAGCCGACCTTCAGGGTCTTCAGATACGGCCCAAGAGATTTCTAAGGAGGGCCCAAGATAGGACCCTAGGGAAATACTAGGGTATGTTTCATGGTTCGGGTTCTACGTCCATGGCTCCGAGACCTCGTGGGCAATCACGCGACGAGTCCCCTGAGCCTACAGGATCTCTCGGACGCACTTGTTCCAGGGTTTCGGGGCACCTACGAGTCCCCAGATCTCGCGTGGGATTGCGCTTGCCCATGGGAACCAGGGACTTGAGGGCGCTCCACTGCGTGCGTTTCAGAAGTGCGCTGGCGGATCGAGGTGGACATCATCACGCCAGAGGAGCTGACAGTCGAACGACTGCACGCGAACGACCTTAATTTCACCATGGGCTACAATGCGGTGAACATCAAGGTGGAGAACAACGCATCTGGGCCCGCGAAAATGCGAGCATTTACGAAGGCGAAAAACATTTTCCCGACGTGGGAAGCAGAGGAGTTCATCTTGCAAAAGTCGAATTACATGCAGGCTTGCATGGACGCGGGAGTGCCAATGGCTCCAACGATTTTTGCGAAGAAGGGGAGTCGCAGCCCGACGGGGCTGATGAAGCAGATCAAGGATCGCGGGTGGAAGACATTCGTGATGAAACAATCCGAAAGCGGGTTCTCCTTGGGGTTTTGCAAGTTGTCCGTCGAGCAGTGCGACGCCGACCCTTCAATTCTGGCCACATACTTCAAGGACTACGCCCATTGCCCCGAGTTCGTCGTGCAAGAAGCCATAGACGGATTTACTCGCAATTGGGAGACCAGATGCTTCTGGTTTAATGGCAAATTCTTGTACGCCATCGCGAACATTGCAGCCGTGTCGTCGAAGGGCTCGAAAGAGAGGATCGTCACCGGCGACGACATTCCCGCGGAGTTCTTGGAGAACGCGAAGAGGATCGGCCGGCAGGCCATCAAGGTGCTCCCAGACCTGAAGACAGGCGGGGCGCCCGTGAAGAACGTGCTGGTGCGCACCGACGTGGGATGTTCGGACAGCCAGCTCCACGATAAGTACACGAATTGGGACCCGAAGAAGAAGACCTTCTTCCTGAACGAGATCGAGCCCTCGAGCACTACGTATTTTGTCCGCTGGCTGAAGTTCGATTGCATCCCGATGTACGCAAAGCTCTATGCTGAGAAGGCCAGGGAGATTTACAGGGCCATGAAGGCCAAGAAGCCTGCGACGACGCGCGCCGGCTCGAAGACTGGCAAGGTGAGGGCGAAGCCTGCAGCGTCCACAAAGGTGCTCAAGACGGGGAAGCTCAAGACCAAGAAGTGAAGCAAGGGGGGTGATGGGCACCACCTGGGAGCGGATCGCTTCGATCTGCCAACATCCTTTGGTTTTCAAGTCGCATCGTGCCGTTCTGATGCACGGGACTTGCTGTCAGCAATGGGGGAGCTCTGAGACCGTTTTTGGCCAGTGCTGGAAGTTTGAGGCACGTCTTGCGCGGAGCTGCCGGACACGAGGACCGTGGTCGATCGGCCCCCTTGAAGGCCAGGGGTGTCTAGGGCTGACCACCCAGGAGTCTCCCGTGGCCGTGATTACCATCGGAAGTTGGAGCATATACACTACCAGTGGCTGGCTGTTTTTGAACCCCAGAACTTTTTGAGGGTCGGGGGCGACGTCGGGGTGGTGTGGTGTATACTTTTTCCCTACGTGCTCCTGGTTCTCCCGGGGGTGCACCGCAACATGTATACACCAGGATGCCGCATACACCAGGACCCTGCTTCCTGTGCAGAGTTCAATGCAGCGCCGGAAGAAGCGTCGGTGTAGAGAGAGCTCGGTTCCCTGTCTCATGTGATCCGACTCGGTTCGATTCACGGGCATCGGTCGGGGCCGGCCGGAGCCAGGCGCGGCGATCCGATCTCGCTTCGATCCGGGACGATCACTCAAATTTAGATATCAGTGCGCACCAGGGGCCACACCACAAGAATCAAACAATTCAATGAGCACCAGCGACCAGACCACAACCGCCCCACTCAAATCTAGACTTCAATGGGCGCCAGTGACACACCGCCACTCCGCGATTCGATCCGGCTCAGGCTTGCCGGTGAGCAAACATCACAGCCGAGTCCGATGCGTCTCTTGCCTGGTGGGGTCTGCCCGATTTGTCACTGGGGCCCCCTGGCTCGTGGGCGGAAGACACTCTCCGTATCCGCGGCCTCGCGGTCCGGGCCCCTGGGCCGCGACCCCGCGGAGACGGGGCGTCTTTTTTTTCGCGGAGGCCCCGCGCGCCACGCATCCGTGCGACCGCGCATCCGCGGGAGCACCGCGAGGGCGCGGGTGCGGAGATGTCCGCCGACCGTGAATGGCACAGCGGGCGGCCGACCGATCGCGGCACCTCGGACCCCGCGCGGCCCCCGTGGCGAAAGTTCGCGGTCTTCAGAGCGGTTGCGACCTGACAGGGTGCCGCTGTGCGCCGGGAAGTCGACGTGCGCGCGTCGCGCGCGCGCGCGCGCGTCCGGGGCGAGGGGGCCTGGGGGGCTGCGCGGCTGCCGATGATCCTCGAGACGTTTCTGTTATCCCCAGGCGGTCCACCCGCACAGTGAGGACGAGCGACGCTCCGAGGTCTCCCTCTCGCTTCCTTCCCCTTCGGCCCTCCCCGCGGCCACCGCTGCCGGCCGCGCACCGCTCGCGGAGTGTCGGCATGGCCTTCCAAGGCCCCTGCGTCCTCGTCGTGCGTCCCTGCTCCGTGCGGGCGGGCAGTGCTGCCTCGCCGTCGGGGACATCGAAGGAGGTGCCAGCTCCTTCTCCTCGGCGGAGGGCGGAGGGCGGCTGGCGGAGGGCGGCGGAAGCACAGCTCGAGCAGTGGCGAGGCGTCCTGGCTCGTCAAAAGGCCCACCGAAGAATGCTCTGAGCACACTTGTTTGTGGTTTGCACGACCTGTTCTCAGATCATAATTGGCTGAGACGGTCTTGTTTTAACACGTCGGGCCTATGCCATAAGAACCTTGTTGTCGTTATTAGAACTCTATGGGGTTCTAAGAACATACCGTGGTAGGCGTATAGGAATGCTGGGATGGCCAGTCCCTGCTCAAAGAAAAAACGAGGGCGGTTCCGCCAGTTGAAGTTCAAACATCGGCCCCCCAAGGGATGGCAAGGTTGTTCGCTTCAGGGTTCCAGGAACCCGCCATGCGTGTCTATCTACCCTGCTCGGCCTGTGTCAGCCGTAGTTACACCGCCTGCGTCGTCGAAGGGCCTCGGTGGACCTAACACACGTTCTGAGGAGCATCGCAGCTGTCTCGAGATCGAGGAGGATGTGGACGACGAGGAGGCGTGACGAGAAACAAGGGAGGGGGAGGACCAGGATAACCAGGAGGACAGGCGGAGGAAGAGGCAGCCTGGCCCAGCCACCAGGTTGCTTTCAGGGCGAGGGTGGTTAATTTTATTCTGGACGTCCAGCTGATCGTGACTGGCCAAGGAATTCGGATCTGCAGGGATGCGAACTTCGCCAGCTCAGGATATGAATTTTCCATATACATCCCTTTGGTGCTCGGTGAGTTCGGCCTGCGTGTGAACGCTTCTCTCGCCAGAGCGGCGCCACACGGGTCGGTTCCCCTCCTCGACCCTCCCTCGCCCTCCTCCCTCTCCCGCATGCCTCCGCCCTCTCCCATCCCTCGCCACCTCTCTCAAATTCCGTCCCTTCGTTTACTGCTCCTGTTCTTCTCCTCTTCCTAATCCATCTTCTCATCGACTCCTCATTCCCCCCCCCCCCCCTCCTCCTCCTCCTCCTCCTCCTCCTCCTCCTCCTCCTCCTCCTCCTCGCCCTCCTAGGTGTTCCAGCAGAGGAAATGCCGAACGGTCCATCCTCCTTCTGCCTGCTTCTGCCTCCCTCTGCCTCCTCTTCGCTCCTCTGTCGCTTCCTTCTCTCTCTGCTTCACCTCCGCCCCTCCCCCTCCCTCCATCCCCCGGGTCCCCTCCTTCCCCCAGACATGCGACGTCCTGATTTTTTCGGCACGGCGTCCCTGGAAGTCCCGATCATTTCCCCGGGACCGGTTTTTCGTCTTGAGTCGTTTTTTGACGGTCCCGAGGCCCGGAGAGGGTCCCCCGAGGCCGAAAATGGTCAATAACCTCTCGTCGTGATTTTTTACGACGCGATCATGTCTGGGCGGTCTGCGCGGCAGTGCCTTTTGGGCACGCGGCAAGCGGCGCACGGTGGCGGCGATGAGGAGGCGGTCCCGGGAGGGGCGCCCAGGCCCCAAGGGACCCTCGCGTCTGCAAGCACGGAGCGTCGGCTGCCTGGGGCACGAGCCGCCGGCGACGGCGCGCGCGCCGCTCGCGCCGCTCGCGGCTCGCGGCGCGGCGGCGGGAGGTTCGCGGCACTGCGGCTGCTGCTCCAGGGCTACGAAGAACCTCACGAGGTGTACCACGTCGGGGCACGGTTCGTCACCTGCCTGCCTGCGCAAGCAGTGTACGCGGCCGGCGTCGATGATCAAGCGCTCGAAGCACTATTTGGGGAGTCGGCGGACTTGTTGGTGTGGATTCCAGAGACTTCTCGCGACCCTAATGGACTCGTCCTGGCCGGGGCGGCGGGGTCGCCGGCGGGCTGGGGAGGTGGTGTTGGTTGCGGTGGTGGAGGCTCTTGGCGCAGCCGCGCGCGCTGCTGCCAGCGGAGCGACGGGGAGAGCTCAAGGCCTTCTGGGCCTCCCTCGTCGCCACCGCTGGATTTGCTTCAAAATCCTTGTCAGAACACACTTTGGGACAGGTCTGGGGAGTGGCGGTATCGGTATCTTATGGCTGTTCCAGAGAAGGCTGGTGAAGCCTCGCGTGCAGCAGCGCGAGCGGATCGATTGAGGGGGCTGTGGCATTGTGCCGATGCTGAGAGCTAGAAGTCCAGCGAGACAAGGGCGCGCCTTCGAGGGATGTCGAGCTTTTGCGGCAGGAGCCGTCGAGGGGCACTGATCATCAAGTCCCGACGGCTGCGCGGCATGGTGCAATCCCGACGGGGCCACGGATCGATTGCTCAGCAATCGCGGCTTGTCCACACCGTCGGACTGCAAGCAGAGCTGAAGTCTGGCCAATTTGGGTGGCATCTTGCAGCTATGAGCTTCCATGGTGAAGGCTCATGTCCCACATGCTCCCTGACAACGTCGGAATGCGAGCGGAGTCGACGTCTTGTGCAAGTTCGGTGCTAGTCATGCAGATATGTGTGCCGAGAGTCTGGGTTGAAAGCATACTGTATTTTCTGTGGCAGAGACATCTGATCAGGCGCTGTTTGAAATAATGTTGAAGCCGTAGCGTTTACAGGAGGGTGCTTCCTCCTGGCCTTCTCAAACGGGTTCGTCGCGGCGGTCGTGGCGACCTGGGGAGGCGGGAGGCTGCAGGTAGGTAATTACTACATCGATTTCTCCTCCTTCTCCTCCTCCTCCTCCTTCCCTCCTCCCATTCCCCCATGTCCTCCCTTCCCGCTCTCACTCCTCCCCCTCGTCCTCCTCCTCCTCCTCCTGCTCCTCCTCCTCCTCTTCCTCCTCCTCTTCCTCCTCCTTCTCCTCCTATGGGCTCATGACTCACCCCCCTCTTCCGATGCCGTTTCGGCCCAGGGTCGCTATCTCGTGGGGGGGCCGTGGGGGCTGGTCGCTCCAAGCGTAGAGGTCTCCACAATGGGACGCCACAGGACTCGTCATGCCCGCTGTCATCGGGGAGGGTGGAGGTAAGGGGGTGGGAGGAGGAGGGAAATAGGACACGGAAGAGCATGGAGGAGGAATCGAGAGGAGGGAGGAGGAGGCATCGAGAGGAGGGGGTGGGAGGAGGAGGGCAATAAGACACATAAGATAGGATGACGAGGAGGAGGGAACAGGTGGGAGATAGGAGAAGAGTTGGGATGGAGAGGGGGCGGAGGGGGAATCGAGCAGAGGAGCACGGCGATGATAGTATTGTGTGATGGTGGTGATGATGATGTTGATGATGCTGTTGTTGATGATGCTGATGATGGTGATGCTGATGCTGCGGATGGTGATTGCGATGGTGATGATGATGATGATGATGATGATGATGATGATGATGATGATGATGATGATGATGATGATGCGGAGGTTGATACTGTTGTTGATGATGAAGACGATGATGACGATGACGAGGATGGATGGTGACGACGACGATGATGTTGATGATGTTGGTGATAATGATGATTATGCTGATGATTATGATGATGATGATGCTGATGCTGATGATGATGATGATGATGATGATGATGATGATGATGATGCTGATGCTGATGCTGATGCTGATGCTGATGCTGATGCTGATGCTGATGCTGATGCCGCTGATGATGCTGATGAT